AAATGGATGTACAGGTGTACTAAGAATGAGATAAAGAAAGAGAGAAAAAGAAATTGTTATTTATTAGACTCTAGAATTGTATCTTCTTAAGCACGGAAAACAAACATAATTAACAATACAAAAATATATAGAACATTAAGAGAGAATCAAATTCAGAAAAAAATAATAAAGATAATAAAAATAAAAATAGAAAGATAATACAGATGAGAACGATAGCAAAAGACTTAAACATAACATAATATAAATTAAAAAGAGAGAGAGAGAATTAATTAGATTTGTCAGACAATTAACAGATAATCCTGGATACTGTTACGTGCAAGTATGAGGTTTCATTTTTACGGAACGTTCCCGTATAATAAAAGAAACACAGATTGTCCAAACTTTCACAAAACACTCCAGCTTTCACGAGGTACCCTACGATTTTTCGAGTTGCCGCGAATTCATGAAAACGCGAAAAGTTGGGAAACATCTCCCAAACATCGTTCCACAACTCACGAGGCCATACGGCGTTACGGTGCAAAAATTCCACGTTCAACAGATCTCACGTTAACGCCGAGAGAGAGAGAGAGAGAGAGAGAGACGAGTTCAGCGTGTAGATAAATCTTCCGCATTTTTTTTTCGACAGACCCTCTGTATGTAACGATGGCTACGAGATACGTATGCAGTCCATCGATATTCAAAAATATTGACTTTCACTGCTCACCGCCATCATTTTCTCGCGGAACAACAAGTCCGACATCATTTTTTTCTCCCGATTTTCGTGTGAAAGCAGATTCCAGCGCGTACGTGCATTATTTATTAATTAAAACTCGATTTCCGGTCAATTTGTGCAATTGTGCCGATCCGTTCGATCTGCAAAGGGTGAGCCGACCGAAAACTCGGCGGCCTTTCATCCTTTAACAGCTCGTCTCGCATCGCCTTCCCTTCACTGGCTGATATTCAGCGGGATCGCTCAGGTCCGATGTTTACGCGCTCGCGGTGACATTTATGAGGACCGTGCACATCGACCGGTGTTGCTTTCTCCGCAATTTGCTAGATGCGCTTTACCGAATAAATCGCGTGTCCGCAATATCCACGGAGCGGTACAACCGATAGCGTTGAAGTGAGGCGAATTCTGTGGATCGCCGGATCGAACCCGTTGAATCCGGGATATACGTGGCGAACGCATTCCGTGTAATTCCGCGTCACTGAGTCACATAATAAAGCTCAGAAGAATTTCCAGTCCAATATTTAAACAAGGTGATAAAATGAAACAATTTTAATTCTTCAAAATAATTATCGATATAATTATTTTTTATTTCAACAATTTTTTGGAATAACAAATTAATTTTTTACACTAAAAAATATCTTGAATTTTTTATCTTAATATGGTTGAACGTTAAAACCATTTCTTCATCATGGTACGTTTTTTCTACGCAAATAAAACTTCAATTTTGAGAATATTTACTAAAGGGAAGTCGGGACTGTGCGTGGAAAAAATGGTTTTACTGAAATATCTAAAAAATTACATACAGATCTGAAAATAACTTTGCTAAAATAATACTAAAATAATTATGTAGTACGGTCAAGCTGGTTGCTAGAATATTAAAATATCTTGCAGCCATTGCTCATTCTGTTTTTATACATAATTATTTTGATGGTCTAACAAAATTATTTTCATATTTCCACCAGCTAAATTGTTAGATATTTCAAGCAAAATCGTCCTTTTGTGTAGCAAATGATTAAAGTATTTTGAGGAAAAAAATTCAGAATACTCTTTAATGGTAGAGAAAAACTAATTCATTGTGTGCGTTTTAAAAATATATTGCAATAAAAGGCAATTGTATCGAAAAATAAAAATGGTAGTTTTATTTTATTACTATTTTTAGATCTGTACATTAGAAAAAAAAATTTTAATTGCATTAATTAGAACTTTGATAGATTCAAATTTGTGTCATAAAGATACAAATCGGATACTTATAATTAAATCTATTAAACATTCTAGTCGAGATAACCGGAAATTCAATTACGATAATTAAACTTTAGATTGATATGCTCAGAATACATTTTATTCGTATTCTTTGTTGATACAACAAGAACATTTTTCTCAATTTCATACAGAAAAATATCATTCTATTGATTACATAATTTACTTTCTTTTTTTTAATAACGATTTTTAATAAAGAATATTTTCTTGATAATCTTAAAATATACTTCTTAGTTATTACAAATTTTAGAGAAACTCATTAATATGCATTCAAAATAAGAGATTGAGTACATTATTATATATTCAAAATAATTTTTTAATTTTCTTTAAATAATATTATAAAATTAATCGAAGAAGCGACTTTATATGTTATTATATTTATAA